GCAAACAGGTTTACACTACCGATTTGAGAGATATTCTCAACAATCGGAACTGTCCTATAACCTTTAATATGGAGGACGCTAATCATTTCGCACACCCTCATTCTGATGCGCTTGTTATCACCGTCCCTATATGCGGTATTCCTGTTCATCGTGTCATGGTGGACACTGGAGCCTATTCGAGTATCTTGATGTTGAAAGCTTTTGACAAGATGGGTCTTGATCCTGCCGAAATTCGACCTTGCAACGATCAAATCCAAGGGTTTAACGGCAGTATTTCAAAGCCTATCGGTGAAATCACCTTACCTGTCAGATTCGGCACTTCGGAGAATGCCACCAAACTCGTCATGTAAACTTTCAAGGTTATGGATATCAATAATGAGTACAACGCCATCATTAGCAGAACGGCATTGTATAAACTTCGAGCTGCCGTTTCTATCTTTCACTACGCCTTAAAATTCCCGACAACCCGAGGAGAGGGAACCCACTTCGGAGATCAAAGAGAAGCTCGCGAACTTGTTACTTTTATCCCATCCAATGGAGTTCATTCAACTTCAATGGGTAATAATGAAGCCTCCCCACAGCAACACGCTTCAGATGACGCGGTATCCGAAGAACCGAACAACCACGTCGGCGATCCTTCCACCTCGGATCCTTTAACCGAAGACTGAGGTCGCCGACCTGGAAAAGAGCCACTTCTTGAAGAAGACGAGTTGGACCCCAGAGCATTGTTTAAAGAAAAAAGTCAAACTGATCGAGCCGAACCTGGAGAAGACGTGGAATTGGTCTATATCGATGAACCAGTCTTCCACAAGTCATTACGCATCGGAAGTCATCTTCAAGAACCACTTCGGTAAGAACTTATCTCGTTTCTCAAACAGAATTCTGATGTTTTTGCCTGGAAGCACGAGGATATGAAGGGCATCGACCCCGGTGTCGCTAGCCACAAACTAAACCTCGATCGAACAATCTGGCCTGTTGTGCAAAAGAGGAGGAAACTGGGGCCGGATCGTCAGAAGGCATTGGAAGAAGAAGTCAAAAAACTCATTGACAACAAGTTCATCAAGGAAGCCAAATACCCGACGTGGGTCTCAAATCCTGTTCTTGTTAAAAAGAGCAATGGACTGTGGAGACTGTGCATTGATTTTTCCGACCTCAACAAGGCATGCCCAAAGGACAGTTATCCACTTCCCCACATAGATTACATGGTTGATGCCACGTCGGGACATGAGTTGATGAGTTTCATGGACGCTTACTCTGGCTACAATCAGATTCCTATGGATCCTGAAGATTCTGAACACACTTCATTCTATTCGGCCCGAGGCTTGTACTGTTATACTATGATGCCGTTCGGATTAAAGAACGCCGGAGCCACATATCAACGCCTTGTCAACAAAATGTTCGCTACGTTGATCGATCACACAATGGAAGTTTACGTTGACGACATGCTCGTCAAGTCGGTGCACGCCTCAGATCATATAACACATCTTCAAGACATGTTTTCCATCCTTCGATCGTATTCCATGGTCTTAAACCCTAAGAAATGTACTTTTGGAGTTGAGTCCGGAAATTTTTTGGGCTATATGGTTAGCCAGCGCGGAATTGAAGCCAATCCGGCCAAAATAAAGGCCATTCAAGAGCTAACTCCCCCGACCTCGGTTAAGGGCGTTCAGGCCCTAACCGGCCGACTTGCCGCACTCA